TGTGAATTATAAGTTCTGGTGACGAGTTGAAACTCTGAGACCAATATTGAGATGCACTGAACAGAAGACACAAACATGGAGACGATCGATTAGCACAAGTTGATAATAATGATAATCATGAGCAGGTATGAGGAGGTCAGGAGATCTGGCCGTCAGCACACACACATACACACACACGCGCGGTTGATGGGGGTTGAGTGTGTTTAAACGTGCCTCTGTTGTTATGTCTGCGTTCCCTTTGAAGCTCCTCAAACCTCCAATTAAGTGGCACTCATTTTCCCATCTCCCAGATCTCCGATTATTTCCAGATTGTGGCGCAGGGACTCGTGGTGTCAGGCGTAGCGCTTCAGCCTCACGTCTCGTCTGCTTACAGAGCCGTCGACATGAAATTGACCTCGATTCTAATAAGCCCACGCACATTTACCCTCAAGACAACAGGAATACAGACAGCCTTTAAAGACCACTGTGGAAATTTTGCTTATCTCGCTTTCACTCACTCAGGAAGTGCAGTTTGTTCTCAGTTACAGTAATCTGAAGTGCAGGCGACACACACACACACACCCTAGTTCAGGGATCGACACATTCTCGAAATGTTTCATATTTTGAATATTTTCCACAATCTTCAGCTCATCCACACTGTTTCATTAAGAGGTTAAAGTGAAGCATCTCGTCTTCATGCAAACGGTGGGAAGAACGGCATCCGCTGGAAACCTTTTTAACGGCTGAAAACATTGAGCGTAACAGTGACGTTTCATTAGCGCTTCCATCAGTGGATCAACAGATCAAATGTGTACGCTAGTGACGGGTTAACATATTGATTTGTCCTAATTTCACAATCATATCATTAAAAAGTTGTTCTAATGTGCCATTTTTGATTAAAAATGTTAATCAAACGGTAGAGCGTTGGCGCTTGCAACGCCAAGGTCATGGGTTCGATTCCCAGGGAAAGCAAGAACTGATAAGAATGTAAATGTGTGCCTTGAAATGCAATGTAAATCGCTTTGGATAAGAGCGTCTGCCAAATGCATAAATGTAAATGTATTATTATAGTTTATTTTCGCCCAAGTGAAAAATCTAGGTTTCTAGGTGGCCAATCAAATGTAAGTAAATGAGTGATCATGTGACTCCTCAGATGTTCTTGATGATCATGTTCTCCAACATCATCCAAAGAGCTCTTCCTTAAAAACGCACTTTCTTCAAGCGTTATCACTGAAGACCAAAGGCACTGAAACCCATCAAAAGCAGTGCCAGCATAAAGAGTGTAACATCACGGCCCCCCATTCAGACGCTTCGTACACCACACACACACATCCGAGATTAAAGACGTAACACTCAAAGCGCTCGCCTCCAAAAGGACCTTTAATTTCCGCTTCAAAAAAAGCACTTCGATTTTTAAAGCAAAGAATACATTAGACGGCGCGTCACGGGTGGTCGTCGGCCGATCCCTGCGTTCCCGGGATAAAAGGAAGGAACCACATGCTAATAGACTCGTGCTCTGATATATCATTTCCATGTTTCTTTGATTCTATATGAGTTAATATGTGCTTGTGTGGGGAAAGGGCATCGTGTTGAAGATGAACGCTTGTTCACACCGCCTAAAACTAACTCTTTGCCAATAGTCGATAGGGGTGGGAATTGGCAAAACGTGACGATTCGATAGTATTGCGATATTTGGGCCACGATTCAATATTGCGATTCTTAACATATTGTGATACATGCAAGTATTGCGATTCGATTCTGTGATATATTGCGATTCATGTCCCCCATATTATTCAAAGGCATTTCAAAAAATGAGGAAAATGATACTGCTCAACTCACTTCAAATGTCACATTTAATTCTGTGAACATTATCTTCTACACATTAACTGAAGTGCAAAAACTTAGGAGGATAGTGCTAAACTTTGTCCTTGAGCATTCAGGACACAGGACCTTATTACAGGACAGGACATCATTATTATTATTATTATAATTATTATTACAGGACAGGACGTCATTATTCTAGAATTGGAGACCTCTCACATGAATGATGAGCTCCCAGCACATAACTTAAAATTATTTAAATACAATAGAGTAACATAAAGCAGACATAACAGAGTAACATAAACCTGAGAATAATCATAAATAATGTCCAGGTTTTTACTACACGCTATTTGATGAAAAACAAAATTTACCCACACTTTCGATTAGAAAGAAGACGGAGCATCGTGTTCAACCGGTTGTGATGGGGAAGCCATTTTCACTTGATTCTGCTGTTGAATGCACGACAACAAAGCACCGCAACAAGCGCCACCTTGTGGATGTAATACGCAATTGTAAATTATCAGAGTAAACTCAGAGAAAACCTGAAAGTAAAACAGATAATTTTATAATTAAATATTGCAATACTTTGCGCTACTGTACTGATATAATTGCGACCGCAAAATATCGTGATACTGAACAGAATCAATTTCCCCCCCCACCACTCATAGCCGCTGACTTAAGGACATGTACCGGCCATGAAGCTGTTTTGCTAAAAAACAAAAACAAAAAACAGGCAGTAATGGCAGCAAGATATTAGATGCTAGTGAAGATTCACAATTCTCTATTCCAATTTCAAAACCTCAGCTAAAACTACTCGCCTAACTAATATAACAAAGATACAAATGAAACGCCAGCTTTTCATGTTTTTCAGGTAGGTCTGACATTTGAAATGTAATAAAGTAAGCAAATGTAAAATAACACTACATAGTCTTCACTGTATAAATTAAACATACTTATTAATTAATCCTTTTTAAAGTGACAAAAGTTATTGTCAAGAGCAGTGAGTGATTTTTCTTTTCTTTGTCATTTGTTTGTTTAACATTAATGACAGGAATATTAGGCTGCTGTCACTTTAAGAGCGAATGCACTGATCCAATATACTGATGCACACGTTTTCTTTTTCAACTGTTTACATTCACTTGAGACATAACCGGCTTTGTTTACCAGGATACTCGCTATTTTTTTTTACATGATTCTGTGTGAGTTTGTCCACTGAAGCGCCAGAAGACGTGAAAGCGAGCTCAGTTTAGTATCCGCCTGAGACTCGGCTTTCTGTGCTTTGGATGTTTGCGCACACTACATTTTTACTTGATTTTTAATCACATTTTGCACTTGGTGAGTTTTAATTTTAAGCCTTGCTTGTTCCTCAAATCGCCTCAGTAAATTTTTTTTGTCCTCCTGTCCTCCAGCGAAATATTTTTAAATGTCTGTAGAACGAGATGCATTGGGAAGCGAAATTGTGCAATATGAATATGTATGGTGAAATGCTAGACTTTTCTTTGTGTTTTATCGATTCTTTATTTCCAACCAAAATAAACAAAATTGTGCAGGGAATTTTTTTTTTATTTGGGGGTCAATTAAACAGCCATGATAATGTGAAAAGTGTTTATTGCAGCATAACATTTACATCTACTCGTGTTGCATCAATCGTCATTCACGAGCTATTTTTGCAGCATTGAGCATTAAAAACAATCACATGTTTTCTGTTGAGTGCATGAATGCAGTGGCCAATCAGAGGCCTTAGAACACAGTGGCCAATCAGAGGCCTTAGAAAACAGTGGCCAATCAGAGGCCTTAGAAAACAGTGGCCAATCAGAGGCCTTAGAAAACAGTGGCCAATCGGAGGCCTTAGAACACAGTGGCCAATCAGAGGCCTTAGAAAACCGTGACCAATCAGAGGCCTTAGAAAACAGTTTTCCACTCTCACCATAAACAATTGCAGATACGATGTAAATGAGACTCATTTCGCAGTGCAGACTTCAGTCGAGTCGAGTCAGCTTTATTTATACAGCGCTTTTTACAACACAGAGTGTTTCAAAGCAGCTTTACAGAGATAACAGGAAAATAATGCAACAGAAAAAAATAGTGTCACAGTCCAGCTTAAGTACAGGTGAAACTGGAAAAATTTGAACTTAAATGGTGAAACAAATATATTATATAGACTCTATTATATAGATATTTCAAGCCTTTATTTGTTATAATTTTGATGATTATGGCTTTCAGCTTATGAAATTAGCAAAATTAGAATATTGTAAAAAGGTTTTCATAAGGTGTAAGCCATAATCATCAAAATTATAACAAATAAAGGCTTGAAATATCTCACTTTGCATGTAATGAGTTTATATAATATATTTGTTTCACCTTTTAAGTTGAATTACTGAAATAAATGAACTTTTGCACGATATTATAATTTTTCCAGTTTCACCTGTAAGTTCAATGATGGTTCATTTCTGTTGTAAAAGAGTTATTAATGTATTTCATTTATATATATATATATATCAAGTTCAGTTCTCATATAATGGTGTCAATGCAGGAGATCAATAATATTGTTGAATTTTGAATGTTTTAAATGTATTAAACTAAGCAAGCCTAAAGGCAAAGGCGACCAGAACTCAGGCACTTTGCTTCAGTGAGTTGTTGCAAGCGTGCAGAAGTCGAGGGTTGAGGAATATGATGTCTGTGCTTCAGTCCCCGTGTGTGTTGAACAGCTGAGGGTCTCCATCTTCTTCTGCCCGCTACGAAGAACCAAAAGGAGAACATTTACTTTTTCTTTTTTTCTTTTTTACATAAATGTGGCCACAAATCTGCCAGACTCCTTCGGCCTCTCTCCGTCACACATGTGCTCGCGCTCGGATGAAACGACGCCCATATGAAAAGCACAGTCAGAAGTTTGGCCAAGAAATGCTATACTTCCAGCCATGCAACCGCCATGACACATCGTGTCAAACAACATGCTGTTAGCATTAGCAAACGTGGTTTCACATGAGTTATTGAAGGCCATTTGTAAACACAGACATGAAAGCAAACAAGCTCTTGTGCTTCTGGCCTTGATCATCAAAGGCGTATCGATCAAATGGCTCCTTCCCATTGATTCTCTCAGCAAATGTATTCAACATCTGACACACTCGCTTTCAAGCTGAAGACTGAAGACTGACCAGCGTCTTATTGTGTGTGTGTGTGTGTGTGTGTGTTTCTTGCAGTCCAACAAGGTGTCGGTGGTCCAGCCGGGGATGCATCCGCTCACACCGCTCCTCCCGTACGATCACTTCAACCCCAGTCCTACACACATTCCCACAGACGTCAGCCAGAAACCAGGTACGTCATGCCTCTACCAGCACCTGTGTGACAGCGGAGGTTATACAACACACACACACACACTGAGACTCACACATGCACTGACAGCTTCCCTCTCGAGGCATTAAAAACTACTGTCAGGATTTACTAAAGATGCGCAGTCAACACTGTGAGAGAGAGAGACTGTGTGTGTGTGTGTGTGTGTGTGTGTGTTTGTGAGTGAGAGAGAGAGCTTGTGTGTGTGAGTGAGTGATAGAGCTTGTGTGTGTGTGTGTGAGTTTGTGTGTGTGTGTGTGTGTGTGAGTGAGAGCTTGTGTTTGAGTGAGAGAGCTTGTGTGTGTGTGTGTGTGTGAGAGTGAGAGAGCTTGTGTGTGTGTGTGTGTGTGTGTGTGTGTGTGAGAGTGAGAGAGCTTGTGTGTGTGTGTGTGAGTGAGAGAGCTTGTGTGTGTGTGAGTGAGAGAGCGTGTGTGTGTGTGTGTGTGTGTGTGTGTGTGTGTGAGAGTGAGAGAGCTTGTGTGTGTGTGTGTGAGTGAGAGAGCTTGTGTGTGTGTGAGTGAGAGAGCTTGTGTGTGTGTGAGTGAGTGAGAGAGCGTGTGTGTGAGTGAGTGAGAGAACTTGTGTGTGTGTGTGTGTGTGTGTGTGTGTTTGTGTGAGTGAGAGAGAGAGTGTGTGTGTGTGTGTGAGTGAGTGAGAGAGCTTGTGTGTGTATGAGTGAGAGAGCTTGTGTGTGTGTGTGTGTGTGTGAGTGAGAGAGCTTGTGTGTGTATGAGTGAGAGAGCTTGTGTGTGTGTGTGTGTGTGTGTGTGTGAGAGAATCAGTGAACCGTACCAGACTCAACCACCATGACCCAACAGGCTCACATGATGATGTTGACGCGAGTGTGAGATGTGTCATGACGGACCTCCAGGTGAAGTCCACGGTAGAGCAGGAGCACTGAACCCGTCACACTCACTGTAAAGCACCGTGTGTGTGTGTGTGTGTTACTGTAGTGTGTGTGTGATACCCCGAGCTCACGGCCCAGTCATCTCAGGCTTCTCACCGCTTTCACTCTCGCTGGGTTTCGGTGAGCGCCTCTTATATTCACAGACTATTCTCAAGGCATCTAGTTTTCTATTCAAGTTTATATGAAGTGTCTTTGTTCTCGCATTTAAATGAATAACTCGATACGATGTGCTTATCATGTGCATACATGTTTTTACATTTACTTAGATTTAAAAATACCAGCATATTATTAATGTATGTATTTGCACATGTTGACCTTCCCTAACATGTTAACTCACTATTAAACCTACTTATACCAGCAAACCTGTGCTAATATTACCCATAACCTCCTGAAGTGTTTTACAATACAACAACAACAGTACAAGTACATCTTAACTAAGAATTATTGTTATGATGATGTAGTTATGTAAAGACTCCTCATATAAAGAATTGCTATAATTGTTGTCTGTTATGATGGACATTTGAAAGAGTTCTTAAAAAAAAACATTATTTAGTGTTAGCTAGCAATCATAACCAATCATAATCATAACCAGTAACTGGGGTTGTGCGCCATCTTTGCTATTGAGTTGCTGAATCTGAATATAGAATTGTAATTTTGAAGTAAGGAAGTAAAATATACAACGTAACAAGCAGTCATATGAATGTAATTCCATTTTAATATTACAACATATGGAGTATTTCTAGAAATATTGGCCATTCATATCAGCAAATGTGTCTGGAAATACTCCATATGTTGTAATGTATATGGGCCAAAATAAAATGAATACAATAATAAATGCAAAAATAAGAAAACTAGGCATTTATTTATTTGTTTGTTTGTTTATTTTATATAACACAAATTAACAATGAGAAATAAATTCTTACATCATTTATTAACCTTTCTTAATGTTAGTTAATAAAAATGTATTAACTAATGTTAACAAAAACGACTTTTAATCTTAATAAGATATTAGTAAATGCTGAGATTAACATTAAGATTTAATAAACGCTGTAAAAGTATTGTTAGTTTATGCTAACTAATATTAACTAACTAAAGTGACGTTAACTAAGGAAACCTCATTGCAAAAATGTCCAATATATTTAGTGTTTTTCCCAATTCGAATGTAAAAACAATAATGCTATATTATTTAAATTGAAACATTTGGTTATATCATAGTAGTATATTTGTTGCATGAGGGCTGTCAATTGAACATTATTTTAGTACAATCTATTATTAAAATGAACGCATTGACTATTAATGCATTAAACATTTTCAGGATTTACTCACACACACACACACCCTCTCTCTCTCTCACACACACACACACACACACACACACACACACACACACACACACACACACACACACACACAACCTCTCTCACACACACACACACACACACACACACACACACACAACCTCTCTCTCACACACACACACACACACACACACACAGACTCACTCACTCACTTCTTTAGTAAGTCCTGATTTGAGCTCTAAAGTCTCTGTGTGTAATAACTCTACCGTGATTAAGTCGTCTGCCACAGTAATGCAGTTTGAATTATTTCATATCTCAGCAAATAACAGTCATTAATACGAAACTGACTGACATGGATGAATCATTGACATTGATGATATCTCTAACACGCATTCAGAAACAGCTCTAGGGCGGCTTGACTGATCCCTCGGGTGTTCTTCTGTCCTCGGTGACGCTCCCGAGACTCGCTCTCTCAGGACGACTGCGATCGACTCCGGCACATTCCAGCACTGAGGGTTTACTGAGGCCTCGCTTCACAAACCGGCCCAGAGCACATGCTAATTACAGTGATCAAGCAGCATTCTTCAGCAAACACAGCCTGGGGTCGCTCGCAGCCGCGCTGACAAATCACTTCCTGCAGAAAACACACTCGTTGGGCCTTTACACTCACGTTTATTCATTTAGCAGACGCCTTATCCAAAGACACTTACAAATGAGAACAATAGAAGCAGTGAAACTAACAATATGCAAGTGATGTGACCCTTCCCAGTTTAATCTAACGCAGCTTAAGTACAGGTGACACTCGGAAAATTAGAAGATCGTGCAAAAGTTCATTTATTTCAGTAATTCAACTTAAAAGGTGAAACTAATATATTATATAGACTCATTACATGCAAAGTGAGATATTTCAAGCCTTTATTTGTTATAATTATGATGATTATGGCTTACAGCTTATGAAAACCCCAAATTCAAAATTAGAATATTGTGAAAAGGTTTTCATATCTGTAAGCCATAATCATCAACATTATAACAAATAAAGCTTTTTTTTTTCACTTTGCATGTAATGAGTCTATATAATATATTAGTTTCACATTTTAAGTTGAATTAACTGATTTCATATAACAAAAAATACACACAAACAAATTATGATTAAAAATGCATTTATTATTATTACTATCATTTGGAATTTTAAACAATTTCGTTAAAAAAATATATTCAGAATAATGGTGGAGGCTGAATCTTGAATATTAGATTTTCCTCATTTTTCTGGGTAAATTCCCTCGCAGGTCCGTTTGAAGCTTCACACGCATTTAAACGCTGGTTTTCCGTCTACAGTTCCTGCGGGAAATGATGCTCCGCCTCTTCCTCTCTGAGGATTGGAGGCGTTTGGCCCCGGAGACGGGGCGTAATGGCAGGTTCCCAGCGCGCCGATGATAACCGTCCTCCGCTCTGTCTTACAGGTGTTCACAGGCATCAGTCGCAGGAGATCTCCGGTTTCTACTCGCTGCCCCAAGGCCAGATCCCTCCCTCCATGAACTGGTAAGAGTGAAGCGCCTCTGTGTGTCCGAACATGTCATGTCGTACCCGCTAATGTCGAGATGTAAAGCTGAACTCCATCAGTGTGTGGCTTTTGGTGTAAAGTAGAGGGATTCTCAACTGGTGGGTCAGAGCAACACTGACTGACCAGATAATCTGGCATAGTTGTGATGGAAAAATTAACTGACTTGTCAACTTTTAAAAGGGAAGAGAAAACATTTTGTTTTTCCAACTTTCCCATAACAAAATTATGACATATTCAATAATTCCCTCTTTTAACTGAAGATTATACAGTGCATCTGGAAAGTATTCACAGCGCTTCACTTTTTGTTATGTTACAGCCTTATTCCAAAATGGATTAAATTCATTATTTTCCTCAGAATTCTACAAACAATGCCCCATACTGACACCGTGAAAAAAGTTAGTTTGAAATCTTTGCAAATTTATTAAAAATAAAAATCAAAAAAAATCATGTGAAGTATTTACAGCCTTTGCCATGACACTCAGGTTGAGAATTGAGCTCAGGTGCCTCCGGTTTCCACTGATCATCCTTGAGATGTTTCTACAACTGGATTGGAGTCCACCTGTGGTAAACTCAGTTGATTGGACATGATGTGGAAAGGCACACACCTGTCTATATAAGGTCCCACAGTTAACAGTGCATGTCAGAGCACAAACCAAGCCATGAAGTCCAAGGAGTTGTCTGTAGACCTCCGAGACAGGATTGTGTAAATGCACAGATCTGGGGAAGGGTACAGAAAGATTTCTGCAGCATTGAAGGTCCCAATGAGTGGCCTCCATCATCCGTTAATGGAAGAAGTGTGGAACCAGCAGGACTCGTCCCAGAGCAGTCCGCCCCGCCAAACTGAGCAATCGGGGGAGAAGGGCCTCAGTCAGGGAGGACACTCTGGCAGAGCTCCAGTGTTTCTCTGTGGAGAGAGGAGAAGCTTCCAGAAGAACAACCATCTCTGCAGCTCTCCACCAATCAGACGGAAGCCACTCCTCAGTAAAGGCACATGACCGCCCACCTGGAGTTTGCCTAAAGGCACCTGAAGGACTCTCAGACCATGAGAAACAAAGATTGAACTCTTTGGCCTGAATGGCAAGCATCATGTCTGGAGGAAAGCAGGCTCTGCTCATCACCTGGCCAATACCGTCCCTACAGTGAAGCGCGGTGGTGGTAGCATCAGCTGTGGGGATGTTTTTCAGTGGCAGGAACTAGGAGACTCGTCAGGATCGAGGGAAAGATGAATGCAGCAATGTACAGAGACATCCGTGATGAACACCTGCTCCAGAGCGCTCTGGACCTCAGACTGGGGCGACGGCTCCTCTTCCAACAGGACAACGACCCTAAGAACACAGCTAAGATAACAAAGGACTGGCTACGGGACAACTCTTTGAATGTCCTTGAGTGGCCCAGCCAGAGTAGACCAGTCTCCCAGTTCCTGCCGCTGAAAAACATCCCCACAGCCGATGCTGCCACCACCGTGCTTCACTGTAGGGATGGTATTGACCAGGTGATGGGCCAAAGTCCGATTTTGTTTCTCATGGTCGGAGTGTCCTTCAGATGCCTTTAGGCAAACTCCAGGCTGGCTGTCATGTGCTTTTACTGAGGAGTGGCTTCTTCTGATTGGTGGAGATCTGCAGAGATGGTTGTTCTTCTGGAAGCTTCTCCTCTCTCCACAGAGAAACACTGGAGCTCTGCCAGAGTGTCCATCGGGCTCTTGGTCTCCTCCCTGACTGAGGCCCTTCTCCCCCGATCGCTCAGTTTGGCCGGGCGGACTGCTCTGGGACGAGTCCTGCTGGTTTCACACTTCTTCCATTAACGGATGATGGAGGCCACTCATTGGGACCTTCAATGCTGCAGAAATCTTTCTGTACCCTTCCCCAGATCTGTGCCTGGATACAATCCTGTCTCGGAGGTGCACAGACAACTCCTTGGACTTCATGGCTTGGTTTGTGCTCTGACATGCACTGTTAACTGCGGGACCTTATATAGAGAGGTGTGTGCCTTTCCACATCATGTCCAATCAACTGAGTTAACCACAGGTGGACTCCAATTTAATCCATTTTGGAATAAGGCTGTAACATAACAAAATGTGGAATAAGTGAAGTGCTGTGAATACTTTCCGAATGCACTGTAAATTGCATGTTTGAGGTCTAAACAACTACATTCTCACCTAAAAAAACCTTAACTCTGTGACACGATAATAGTGGTATTAGTAAAATCACAGTGGGTTTGCTTCTCCACCATTGACGCTTTCTGTGAGAAATGCGGAGTGAGAAATGGTTTGTGTGCGTCGTCCTGCAGTCGCAAAAATGTCGAGTGACTCCGTCAGTCATTGTTCAGGCAAACAGATAGTCGTTCCCCAAACACCCAGCATTGGTTGAGTCCGGAGCGCAGTGTTGGGAGGCGTTCCTCTAACTGTGTCCCCCGACCCACAGGCCCAATCAGCCTGTCTATCCTCTGCCCTCCTGCGGCTTCAGACAGTCCTTCTCCTCCAGCCTGCAGAGCAGCTCCTCATACCCCAGGTACAGTACAGTACGCTTCAGCCCTGTGTGTGTCACTGACCGACCGATCCAACGCTTCAGCCCTGTGTGTGTCGACCGATCCAACGCTTCAGCCCTGTGTGTGTCGCAGCTTCGCCATCAGCCCAACTCTATGCTAGTAGGGGCTTTCGCACCGGTAGTTCTAGGATCTGGCCGCCAGGGTGGTTCCCCGAGGACTAATGGTTCCCATAGGAATGTTTTGCTGGTTGCGTTCGCAGCGCCAGCAGAAACTCTGAAGTGATGTGAGACACGCTTGTTGTTGAGACTTTTATTTTGACGGCGCTGAGAACGACTGAGCTCACAACGCTCGCATTCTCCTGTTCATTAGTTTACGATCTGTCTTAAGGCCCTTGCACACGGAGTCCAAAATTTTGTATGCGTTTTTTCGTATTTGTGATTCAGTGGCTCTGAATTGTCAAAACACCATTCAAACTGCTCGCTATGGATGCGAAAAATGCAGAAAATCAAACCTGATTCGATTTTTCTTATGACGGACGAAAGTTTTGGAGGCAGTGTGCAAGCGTGATTGACATAACGTGAGGTCGTATTTATTTTTTAACATGCAAAAATTTTGGACACGAATTTCGGACTCAGTGTGCAAGGGCCTTTACAGTCCTGTCTGTTATTAGATAGAACTGTTATACATACATAGTAGACAGTATGTGAAAAGGTATTATTATCGTATGCCGTGTGTTGATGTCCAGTGTTGCTGAGCAGAAACACATCATCATGATTCTCTCGGTCTCCTCAAAGTTGTGTTGGAGTTTCTCCTCAGCGTAAAGGTTGAGACGTCCATCTATCCCTGTTTTACATGTTCGTAGAGTTAGTTTGTGGAGTAAATATATAGGCTATAATCTGTGTGTTTACACAGCTTTTTTTAAATGGCGGGTGCTGGTGTTCCGCGTGCGTTCGGCCAATCAGAGAACACTAACGTCAAAGATAGTTCCTATAGCGCTAGTCTAGACCGACTCTGAAGTACGAGTAAATTAGTTCCTCAAAGGAGTTCCTAGAGCTCAAATCGTTCCCAGTTCCTGCGGTGTGAACGTGCCAACATCCGTGGACTTCCGGCAATAGTTGTAGGAACTATGAAAGGTTCCTCCGGTGCGAAAGCCCCTAGTGTTGTCAAAAGTACCGACTTTGGTATTAACTCGGTACTGAAATTTTTAAAATGTGAGGCTCTGAGCGCTGTTGAGCCGAATCGTAAACACCTCTGATTGGCCATTGTGTTCAGGCGCTCATCGGATATGTCTGTGATTGGCCTCTCCTCCTACCCCAGGTACAGTACCACTCGATCGCGACGCTTCAGCCCTGTGTGTGTCGTCGACCGATCGCGACCCAGCTCCCGCCATCAGCACAACTCTACGCTCAACAGAGCCGCGCTTACAGGAACATTACGGGTTCAGAGTCAGCTCAGCTCTACTCCTTTCTTATTCGCCCTTCCGTGTGAAAGCAAACATGAAACACGCATTAGTTACAGTAAGGAACATCGTACACTCATGGCAACCCTCTGGAACTTTTTTTTTTTTTTTTACGGAATGGTACGAAACTTGGTAAAGTTTTAAATTTTTATATAAAAATTTATATTTTCAAAAACATCTTTTGCTCTAACACTGTGAGAAAATCACAGCCATACATCTAAACAAGTTGTGTTCAAAATGTGAGCCTGATATCTAAAAAAATTAGCTTTCAGTCAGATTTTGTTTGAGCTGCAGTACCGAACGCTTCCACTAGATGAAATTCATCAATTTTGACCGTTCACATAGCAAACACACACACACACAAAAAATCATGGACATGATTCGAACAGGTTAAATGGTCCTGTAAAAAATAGTCACACTTGATCTCCTTTCGGTCAAAAATGAGCGCATTAGAAATGAATGTGAATTTCATCTAGTGGAAGCGTTCGGTACTGCAGCTCAAACAAAATCTTACTGAAAGCTCGTTTTTTGAGATATCAGGCTCAAATTTTGAACACAAATTGTTTAGAGTTAGAGTAAAACATGTTTTTCATAGCAATAAACGTAAAATTCACTTTAGTTCACTTTTTTCACTTATATAATATAATAATCTGTAATAATAATAATAATAATCTGGCTAGCGTCGTCTTTGAAAAGAGATCAAACTTTAGTCTGTTGCTCTAAAGCATTCAAGATTTACCACAGTTTAAGTTGGAAATTTTAATTTTTCAGGTCTATGCTTAAAAAAGCGAATAAATGTATTATAAATGCAGCGTAAATATAATTTAGTACCATAAAATCCACAAAAAATATTAAATAAAAAACATTATCGAACTAAAATATAGTACATTAATTTCATTGAAATAAATGCATTTCAGTCATTTTTGAGCTCCAGAGGGTTAAAGCGCTTCTACCTGCTTGCCTCACACCAAGGACGATATACTTCATAATAATAATAAATTTTTATTTTTATAATAAATCATAATCATGCCACAAATGCTTTCAACATGAAAGTTTATCATGAGTTTAGTGAACCCGGCACGTTCCTGTAATAAGGTATTACATGTGCTTTATGCAGATCTAGTGCTAAACTGTTGAATTGCGGGTCACATTAGATTTCTAAACTGCTTGAAACGCTGGTTAAACTTATTTCTTTCTTTCTTGAAATGTGGCTTTTCCTCGTCTTGGCCCATGAATCTGCTTGCAAAGTTTCAGCTCAGATGTGTTTGGAAAGGCTGTACAAGCTGTGGTGTCTTTGGTTGTGTCGGGGGTCAGATTGTCACCCTTTGGTTTCCATGAAATTTGACAGCAAAAATTTTGATCTTAAAACACATTTTATTCATATTTGAATAAGGGCTGAAGATGTCCGTTTTTGTCCTAGGCGGTCATCCCTTATGACCACTACTGTGTGGATATAGATATTATTTTATTTTTTCTATTATTTTTATATATATATATATATATATATATATATATATATATATATATATATATATATATATATATATATATATTGTCTGTGTTTCTAATTTTAACAATAATATGCTGGTCAAATTGACCCCAATTTTTTTTATCAACACAATGGGAGTTCATAATTTCTCATATTTTAGTCTCTGCCGAGCTGCAATAGAGGTTTTATTTTTGCACGACTCTTTAGTGTTTTTGTAGTGTTGAGTTTTGGTAAGTTGCATGGAAACCAATGGAGGTAAATAGTTAATATCTGCTGTGCAGACACACACACACACACACACACACACACACACACACACACATGATGAACCACAAGACTGCAGCTGTACGTTCTGCAAGTTTCACAGTAAAACACTTTCTTGTGAATGTGTATCCTCAGACACACACACACACACACATACACACACACACGCACACACACAGTAACCCAGAGGTGTGTCTGGTGCCGTCAGCGCAGGTTCTGGTGGATCTCGCGTGTGTGTTTGACGATGATCTCCTCGCTCAAAGACGCCTGTGGTTTCGCTTTGTAACCCAAAACCCGAATTAGATGAACAAATCATGTTAATATGCTTACATGGAGTAATAAATCCAAGCTGTGGAAATGGTTTTATTCGGATGTCAACAGACGACGCACATCTTTCTTCAATTCTCCTCGTGTCAAGGGCACAGATCCCGAACAGTCTTGAGGACGACGAGCGCCTGTTATCCTCCCTCAGTCTCTCTCCCATCAGGACGGGCTGGTCAAATATTAGTGCCGCTTTGAAGGGATATTTGTCTCCCTCAGTTTGTATTGAATGCTTGTTTTCCTCCATGCAGAGCGAGATTATGTGTGTGTGATGCAGTACAACATGCTTCAGCAGTGTGGAAACAGCGCCAGCTGCTGGTCACATAAAGCATTAACACTGGGTTTGATTCTAGATATTCATTAAAAGGGAACTCAAACCAACATTTTGGGGTGTTTATGTGTTTTCTAACGCATTATGTCTGTGCTCTGATGCGTGGGGAGTTCCCTTTTAATACTGAAGGATCTGGAAAATGTCATGGTGTGGGCTGAGATAACTGAGTTGTGTGTGTGTGTGTGTAGGTTCTCTCACTCTCTGATGCTTCAGTCCGGCATGCACCCGACAGGGATCCCTCACCCCGCTATAGTGCCCTCCTCAGGGAAACAGGAGCACGACCAGTTCGACAGGAACATGTACCAGTGAGTTCGTCACAACCGCATGCTTCACACTAGAGTTATGCTCTTAGTATCTGAGAGCACATTCATCAGTCAAACATTATTGTAGTTGTTTTATGAGTGAGTGAGTGAGTGAGTGTGTGAGTGTGAGTGAGTGTGTGAGTGTGTGAGTGTGTGAGTGAGTGAGTGAGTGAGTGAGAGTGTGAGAGTGTGAGAGTGTGAGAGTGTGAGAGTGTGAGAGTGTGAGAGTGTGTGAGTGTGTGAGTGAGTGTGCGAGTGTGTGTGCGAGTGTGTGTGAGAGTGTGTGTGTGAGTGTGTGTGAGTGTGTGTGAGTGTGTGTGAGAGTGAGTGTGCGAGTGAGTGAGTGTGTGAGTGAGTGAGTGTGTGAGTGTGTGAGTGAGTGAGTGAGTGAGTGAGTGTGTGAGTGTGTGAGTGAGTGTGTGAGTGAGTGTGTGAGTGAGTGTGTGAGTGAGTGTGTGAGTGAGTGTGCGAGTGTGCGAGTGAGCGAGTGAGCGAGTGAGTGTGTGAGTGTGTGAGTGAGTGTGTGAGTGAGTGTGTGAGTGAGTGAGTGAGTGAGTGTGTGAGTGAGTGTGTGAGTGAGTGTGTGAGTGAGTGAGTGAGTGAGTGTGTGTGAGTGAGTGAGTGTGTGAGTGTGTGAGTGAGTGAGTGAGTGAGTGAGTGTGTGAGTGTGTGAGTGAGTGTGTGAGTGAGTGTGTGAGTGAGTGTGTGAGTGAGTGTGTGAGTGAGTGTGTGAGTGAGTGAGTGAGTGAGTGAGTGAGTGTGTGAGTGTGTGAGTGAGTGAGTGAGTGAGTGAGTGAGTGAGTGTGTGAGTGAGTGTGTGAGTGTGTGAGTGAGTGAGTGAGTGAGTGAGTGAGTGTGTGAGTGAGTGTGTGAGTGTGTGAGTGAGTGTGTGAGTGAGTGTGTGAGTGAGTGAGTGAGTGAGTGAGTGAGTGAGTGAGTGAGTGAGTGAGTGTGTGAGTGAGTGTGTGAGTGAGTGTGTGAGTGAGTGAGTGAGTGAGTGAGTGAGTGAGTGAGTGAGTGAGTGAGTGTGTGAGTGAGTGTGTGAGTGTGTGAGTGAGTGTGTGAGTGAGTGAGTGAGTGAGTGAGTGAGTGAGTGAGTGAGTGAGTGAGTGAGTGAGTGTGTGAGTGTGTGAGTGAGTGAGTGAGTGAGTGAGTGAGTGAGTGAGTGTGTGAGTGAGTGTGTGAGTGAGTGTGTGAGTGTGTGAGTGAGTGTGTGAGTGAGTGTGTGAGTGAGTGAGTGAGTGAGTGAGTGAGTGAGTGTGTGAGTGTGTGAGTGAGTGAGTGAGTGAGTGAGTGAGTGTGTGAGTGAGTGTGTGAGTGTGTGAGTGAGTGTGTGAGTGAGTGTGTGAGTGAGTGTGTGAGTGAGTGTGTGAGTGAGTGTGTGAGTGTGTGAGTGAGTGTGCGAGTGAGCGAGTGAGCGAGTGAGTGTGTGAGTGAGTGTGTGAGTGAGTGTGTGAGTGAGTGTGTGAGTGTGTGTGAGAGTGTGTGTGAGTGTGTGTGAGTGTGTGTGAGTGTGTGAGTGTGTGTGTGAGTGAGTGAGTGAGTGAGTGTGTGAGTGAGTGAGTGAGTATGTGAGTGAGTGTGTGAGTGTGTGAGTGTGTGAGTGTGTGTGCGAGTGTGTGCGAGTGTGTGTGAGTGTGAGTGAGTGTGTGAGTGAGTGTGTGAGTGAGTGAGTGAGTGAGTGTGTGAGTGTGTGAGTGTGTGAGTGTGTGAGTGTGTGAGTGTGTGAGTGTGTGAGTGAGTGAGTGAGTGAGTGTTTTCTGTAACTGCTAATGCTCTTTTTACACACACACTGAACAACATGAAGCATTGCTTGGTCACTGGTTGAGCTAAACTGGTATTATCTAATTGTGTAGTTAAATTTAACAGCTGACAGATATTCAACATAATTCATGTGTGAGAGTCGAACAGAAGGACGGACAAAACCTGTGAAATATCCTCTGAGTTCTGCTCATATTTTATTACCGTTTTCTAAACTATAGCGAATAAACTGTGATAATGTGAGAAATGTTGAAGGTTTGAGCAAAGCCTGAAACTGTTCTGTGGTCGAGCACAGACGACACTGAACACTATTGACCAGAACATGTCAGCGCTGTCTTATAAACACCTCAGGAACTGTGGACACTTGTGGAAGAGTTCAACATGATGAGGAGATGATCAGTGTAACTCCACAACAACTACACAAATGTCTCCGCTAACATTCAGAAACGTGTAAAAGTGAAGCTCTCCCTGAGTCTCTCCGTAAGGCTGCACTCGCTGCTGTTACTCCTGACTCTGGATCAGTGAGATTGGCCTGTGTTGTTATTGCCGGAGCTTCTGAAGCTCGTGTAAAGGCTCCGCCCTCTTCTGAACAGAGGCGGAGCTAAAGCTCATTTGCATTTAAAGGGACACACACAAAACGGCGTGTTTTTATTCACACCCAAAAAGTGACATTTTAACAAGCTCTAATAAATGATCTGTTGGGTATTTTGAGCTGAAACTTCACACACATTCTGGGGACGCCTTAGAGTTACATTACATCTTGTGAAAAGGGGCGTAATGTCACTTTTAACATTAACTCGCTTCTTCTTTATCTCGTTCCTCAGCAAATCTCACCCAGATGGCAAGCGTGAGAAGGAGCCGAAGAAGCCGGTGATCAAGAAACCTCTGAACGCGTTCATGCTTTACATGAAGGAGATGCGTGCGAAAGTGATCGCCGAGTGTACGCTGAAGGAGAGCGCGGCCATCAACCAGATCCTGGGCCGGCGGGTCGGTCAACACTTCTGTTATCAGGATCATGTGTCGGTTCTAGTGATGGGATCTTTATTCGAGTCTTTATTCGAGTCATTTCGTTCATTCAAGTGGCTTTAAATGTTATACTTTTAACAGACAAATTCCACGAACATGTCCACCTACGCAATCTTGATTATATTCTGAATTAAGAAATCATTATAATCAGGGTTTGAAATAATAATTAACAGTGGCGTGTAACGCTGTCAAATCACGAGCCAATTTGCCGTGTTACTTATTATGTTTACTCACTTTGCTGGAAGTGTGAGACAAATCTGTGCAAATACTTGTGAGTCATGATATATTAAATACAGCGTATTGTGCAGAATCTGCTCATATCTGGCGTACTCGAACACACACGTCACTACACAACAAACAACTACTTTAAGCTGTGACGTAGTTAATTATTTATTTTTAATTATTTATTTAATTTTGGCTTGTACAAGTTCTGAATGGCCGGTAACTTAAAAATGTAAAAGCCAAATTGGCCGGTGAGTGAAAAAGATAATTTCAAACCCTGATTCTAATACAGCCAGAGATCATTACAGGGAACATAAACAATAACTGTAACACTTTACTTGAAGGGGTGTGCATAAGACTGACATTACACCTTCATAATCATGATAGGACACATGTCATGAATATGAAGGAAGTTTTATGCATGTTTATGACAACTGTCATTTAGTGTAATTCGCTCAATTATGACATTTTTAATGCAAATATGATATTGTTTGAGATGTCTTTGTTATGACACCTTGACATAAACCAAGACAACACAACCTGTCATAAATATGTCATAAACATGACATAGCAGATTAATAATCTTAACTTAAGAAACCACTTAGCTAAATGGGTAAACATTACATTAAACTGTCAGGTGGTTGGTGTTGACATTGGCTGTCATGAGGGCATTATAACCTTTTAATGACAAATTCAATGTGTACCACTGTAGTTGAGGTCAAGAAAAATATTCATGACACAGTTATAATGCCCTCATGACAGCCAATGTCAAAACCAACCACATGACAGTTTATTGTAATGTTAACCCATAAAGCTAAGTGGTTTCTTAAGTTTGATCATTAATCTGCTATGTCATGTTTATGACATATTTATGACAATTTATGTTGTCTTGGTAATGTCAAGTTGTCATAACAAAGACATCTCAAACAATGTCATATTTGCATTTAAAATTTCATAATTGAGCGAATGACACTTAATAACAGTTGTCATAAACATGCATAAACCCTCCTTCATATTCATAACATGTGTCCTGTCATGATTATGAAGGTGTCATGTCAGTCTTATGCACACCCCTTCAAGTAAAGTGTTACCATAATGACTTTACCTTCCGAGTCTTTCGTTCAGTTGTCACGTGACAGACGCAATGAACGGATCGTTCTTGAATGACCCATCACTAGTTGGTTCAGTGATGTATGTGATGAGTCTGTGTTTACGGTGGTGTGTGTGTGTGTGTGTGTGTGTAACAGTGGCACGCTCTGACCCGTGAGGAACAGGCTAAGTACTATGAACTGGCGAGGAAGGAGCGACAGCTTCACATGCAGCTTTATCCCAGCTGGTCCGCTCGAGACAACTACGTGAGTGCCTACTCTTTACTCACATAACTCTACAGATAACTCTATAGATAACTCTACAGATAATTTAACATGTGGGAATTAAGAGTGAAGCAGGAGCAGATCAGAAACGCTCAGCTTTGAATAACATGTACACTACCAGTCAAAAGTTTGGGATCTGTAAGATTTTTAATGTTTTTAAAAGAGTCTCTTCTCCTCATCAAGAATGCATTTATTTGATTAAAAATACAACAAAAAACAGTAATATTGTGAAATATTATTATAATTTAAAATACATGTTTTCTATTTTGATTCCTGTGATCAAAGCTGAATTTTCATCATCATTACTCCAGTCTTCAGTGTCACATGATCCTTCAGAAATCACTCTAATATGAGGATCTGATGCTCAAGAAACATTTATGATTTTATCAATGTTGAAAACAAATTTTTTTTTCCAGGATTCTTTGAAGAATAGAAAGTTAAAAAATAACATTTATCTGAAATAGAAAGCTTTTGTAACATTAAACACTATCATTCAGAAGTTTGGAGTCAGAAATAATCTTTATTTTATTTTTTACGGGAAAGAAATAAAATAAATCAATACTCGTATTCATCAAGGAGGAATTAAATTGATCAAAAGTGACAGTAAAGACATTTATAATGTTACAAAGAATTGTATTTCAGATAAATGCTGTTCTTTTAAACTTTCTATTCATCAAAGAGTCCTGAAAAAAAAGTGTCCACTGTTTTCAACTTTTGATAATAATAATGAATGTTTGAGCATCAGATCCTCATATTAGAGTGATTTCTGAAGGATCATGTGACACTGAAGACTGGAGTAATGATGCTGAAAATACAGCTTTGATCACAGGAATAAATTACACTTTACTGTATATTCACATAGAAAACCGTTATTTTAAATGGTCATAATATTTAACAATATTACTGTTTTTTGTATTATTAATAAAATAAATGCATTCTTGGTGAGCAGAAGAGACTTCTTTTAAAAACATTAAAAATCTTATAGATCCCAAATTTGTGACTGGTAGTGTACATGTATAAGGAGTGCGACGGACCACCAAACTGACGGATCATATTGCGGTTTTTGTCATTTTTCGGCGCACTTTAAGTAATTCGATACAACAACAAAACCTAACCAATATATTTCAAACATTATTAAAGACAAGTGAGCAGTCAGTTATAAAATAGGAATTACTAAACGCATTTTAAACATGATTTAAACAGTAACTTTCAAGTACAGAAATGTAATAATCAAATGTTAAATAACACTGTATAGTCTTCGTTGTGTAAATTAAATCTAGATTAGTCTTTGTTAAAGCTACAAAAGTGATTTTCTCTTTGTCTTTTGTTGTTTGATTACCATTAATGTTTATTAGGCTGCTGTCACTTTAAGAGCGAATGCACTGATCTAATGTGCTGATACACGTGCAGGTCCGGGTCCAGGATCGAATCACTGACGCTGATCAGTGCGGGCGCTCTAGGTTTAGTGTGTAAGCAACGACTCCAGCACAACTACAATAGCAATTTATAGTGAGACATTCAAGATCATTACTTTTTACAAACAATTGAAATAGAACTTCAAAAAAATTATATGAAAATTCTAATATTTTTCTTTTGATCTAGTAGTCTGCATTTACATTGCTTAACGCACATCTATTTTGACATATTTTTGTTCCATTAAATGGTTATCTACGGAAGCCCTGAAGCGCAACGTGAAAAAAAGAAGAAAAATCCGTTAAAAAAAATCAAATCTAAAATTATAAAGTATAGAGAATAAAGTAATGTCTTAAGACAACTGGTAATGCCATGTATGCCTGTAGAATTTTCTTTTGTTGAAAGCCCAGATAAAAGTAAAAAGCTATTATGTGTCCGAGCAGTTCGACTTCACGAGCGCGTTTCTTTACTAAAAAAAAACTTCTATGGAAGACTATGTATTCTCGTAATTTTGACTTTATTCTTAAAATATTGTGACTTTAATCTCGAAATATGTCGACTTTGTTCCTGAAATATTTAGACTTTATTCTCGTAATGTTTCGACTTTATTCTCGTAATGTTTCGACTTTATTCTCGTAATGTTTCGACTTTATTCTCGTAATGTTTTGACTTTATTCTCGAAATATGTCGACTTTGTTCTTGAAATATTTAGACTTTATTCTCGTAATGTTTCGACTTTTTTCTCGTAATGTTTCGACATTATTCTCGTAATGTTTAGACTTTATTCTCGTAATGGTTCGACTTTATTCTCGTAATGTTTCGACTTTATTCTCGTGATGTTTAGACTTTATTCTCGAAATACTTCGACATTATTCTCGAAATACTTCGACATTATTCTCGTGATGTTTCGACATTATTCTCGTGATGTTTCGACATTATTCTCGTGATGTTTTGACTTTATTCTCGTAATGTTTCGACATTATTCTCGTAATGTTTAGACTTTATTCTCGTGATGTTTCGACTTTATTCTCGTGATGTTTCGACATTATTCTCGTAATGTTTTGACATTATTCTCGTAATGTTTCGACTTTATTCTCGTGATGTTTCGACTTTATTCTCCTAATGTTTCGACTTTATTCTCGTGATGTTTAGACTATTCTCGACATACTTCGTCATTATTCTCGTGATGTTTAGACTTTATTCTCGTGATGTTTAGACTTTAGTCTTGTGATGTTTTGACTTTATTCTCGTGATGTTTAGACTTTAGTCTCGTGATGTTTTGACTTTATTCTCGTAATGTTTCGACTTTATTCTCGTATTGTTTCAACATTATTCTCGTAATGTTTAGACTTTATTCTCGTAATGTTTCGACATTATTCTCGTAATGTTTCGACTTTATTCTCGTAATGTTTTGACTTTATTCTCGTAATGTTTCGACTTTATTCTCGTGATGTTTAGACTATTCTCGACATACTTCGACATTATTCTTGTGATGCTTCGACATTATTCTCGTGATGTTTAGACTTTATTCTCGTGATGTTTTGACTTTATTCTCGTAATGTTTCGACATTATTCTCGTAATGTTTCGACTTTATTCTCGTGATGTTTCGACTTTATTATCGTAATGTTTAGACTTTATTCTCGTAATGTTTCGACTTTATTCTCGTGATGTTTAGACTATTCTCGACATACTTCGACATTATTCTCGTGATGTTTAGACTTTATTCTCGTGATGTTTTGACTTTATTCTTGTGATGTTTCGACTTTATTCTCGTAATGTTTAGACTTTATTCTCGTAATGTTTCGACATTATTCTCGTAATGTTTCGACTTTATTCTCGTAATGTTTAGACTTTATTCTCGTAATGTTTCGACATTATTCTCGTAATGTTTTGACTTTATTCTCGTAATGTTTCGACATTATTCTCGTAATGTTTTGACTTTATTCTCGTAATGTTTAGACTATTCTCGACATACTTCGACATTATTCTCGTGATGTTTTGACTTTATTCTCGTAATGTTTCGACTTTATTCTCGTAATATTTCGACATTATTCTCGTAATGTTTAGACTTTATTCTCGTAATGTTTCGACATTATTCTCGTAATGTTTCGACTTTATTCTCGTAATGTTTTGACTTTATTCTCGTAATGTTTCGACATTATTCTCGTGATGTTTTGACTTTATTCTCGTGATGTTTCGACATTATTCTCGTGATGTTTAGACTTTACGAGAATAATGTCGAAACATTACGAGAATAATGTCGAAACATTACGAGAATAATGTTTCGACTTTATTCTCGTAATGTTTTGACATTATTCTCGTTATGTTTCGACTTTATTCTCGTGATGTTTAGACTATACTCGACATACTTCGACATTATTCTTGTGATGTTTAGACTTTATTCTCGTGATGTTTTGACTTTATTCTCGTAATGTTTCGACTTTATTCTCGTAATGTTTCGACTTTATTCTCGTAATGTTTCGACTTTATTCTCGTAATGTTTCGACTTTATTCTCGAAATATGTCGACTTTGTTCTTGAAATATTTAGACTTTATTCTCGTAATGTTTAGACTTTTTTCTCGTAATGTTTCGACATTATTCTCGTAATGTTTAGACTTTATTCTCGTAATGGTTCGACTTTATTCTCGTAATGTTTCGACTTTATTCTCGTGATGTTTAGACTTTATTCTCGAAATACTTCGACATTATTCTCGAAATACTTCGACATTATTCTCGTGATGTTTCGACTTTATTCTCGTAATGTTTCGACATTATTCTCGTAATGTTTAGACTTTATTCTCGTGATGTTTAGACTTTATTCTCGTGATGTTTCGACATTATTCTCGTAATGTTTTGACATTATTCTCGTAATGTTTCGACTTTATTCTCGTGATGTTTCGACTTTATTCTCGTGATGTTTCGACATTATTCTCGTGATGTTTTGACTTTATTCTCGTAATGCTTCGACATTATTCTCGTAATGTTTAGACTTTATTCTCGTGATGTTTAGACTTTATTCTCGTGATGTTTCGACATTATTCTCGTAATGTTTTGACATTATTCTCGTAATGTTTCGACTTTATTCTCGTGATGTTTCGACTTTATTCTCCTAATGTTTCGACTTTATTCTCGTGATGTTTAGACTATTCTCGACATACTTCGTCATTATTCTCGTGATGTTTAGACTTTATTCTCGTGATGTTTAGACTTTAGTCTCGTGATGTTTTGACTTTATTCTCGTAATGTTTCGACTTTATTCTCGTAATGTTTTAACATTATTCTCGTAATGTTTAGACTTTATTCTCGTAATGTTTCGACATTATTCTCGTAATGTTTCGACTTTATTCTCGTAATGTTTTGACTTTATTCTCGTAATGTTTCGACTTTATTCTCGTGATGTTTAGACTATTCTCGACATACTTCGTCATTATTCTTGTGATGCTTCGACATTATTCTCGTGATGTTTAGACTATTCTCGACATACTTCGACATTATTCTTGTGATGCTTCGACATTATTCTCGTGATGTTTAGACTTTATTCTCGTGATGTTTTGACTTTATTCTCGTAATGTTTCGACATTATTCTCGTAATGTTTCGACTTTATTCTCGTGATGTTTCGACTTTATTCTCGTAATGTTTAGACTTTATTCTCGTAATGTTTCGACTTTATTCTCGTGATGTTTAGACTATTCTCGACATACTTCGACATTATTCTCGTGATGTTTAGACTTTATTCTCGTGATGTTTAGACTTTATTCTCGTGATGTTTTGACTTTATTCTCGTAATGTTTAGACTTTATTCTCGTAATGTTTCGACATTATTCTCGTAATGTTTCGACTTTATTCTCGTAATGTTTAGACTTTATTCTCGTAATGTTTCGACATTATTCTCGTAATGTTTTGACTTTATTCTCGTAATGTTTCGACATTATTCTCGTGATGTTTCGACATTATTCTCGTAATGTTTTGACTTTATTCTCGTAATGTTTCGACATTATTCTCGTAATGTTTTGACTTTATTCTCGTAATGTTTCGACATTATTCTCGTAATGTTTCGACTTTATTCTCGTAATGTTTAGACTTTATTCTCGTAATGTTTCGACATTATTCTCGTAATGTTTTGACTTTATTCTCGTAATGTTTCGACATTATTCTCGTAATGTTTTGACTTTATTCTCGTAATGTTTAGACTATTCTCGACATACTTCGACATTATTCTCGTGATGTTTTGACTTTATTCTCGTAATGTTTCAACTTTATTCTCGTAATATTTCGACATTATTCTCGTAATGTTTAGACTTTATTCTCGTAATGTTTCGACATTATTCTCGTAATGTTTCGACTTTATTCTCGTAATGTTTTGACTTTATTCTCGTAATGTTTTGACTTTATTCTCGTAATGTTTCGACATTATTCTCGTGATGTTTCGACATTATTCTCGTGATGTTTTGACTTTATTTTTGTGATGTTTCGACATTATTCTCGTGATGTTTAGACTTTATTCTCGTAATGTTTCGACATTATTCTCGTGATGTTTAGACTTTATTCTCGTGATGTTTTGACTTTATTCTCGTGATGTTTCGACTTTATTCTCGTAATGTTTTGACTTTATTCTCGTAATGTTTCGACATTATTCTCGTAATGTTTCGTCTTTATTCTCGTGATGTTTCGACTTTATTCTCCTAATGTTTCGACTTTATTCTCGTTGTAGCAATGTTCAGGGAAGAAGGAGGCGGGAACCGGCGGACAATCAAATTAAAACTTTATTTAAATGAAATAAACACAATACCTGCCAGCAGTCCCTCACGGAACTGCTGGCTACCCAAAATAAAATATAACTACCTGCCAGCAGCCCCTCACGGAACGGCTGGCTACCAAAATAAAATAAAATAAAACACAAACAAAAGCAGGCCTGTTCCTCTCTCCATCATCCACTCCGTCGCTCCTCCTTTATGCTTCCGCTCCTCCGTGAGAGATGCGAGACCGGTGTGCTTCCCAGGTGCTGCTCATTAGCAATCGCACCACCGGCCTCGCGACGTTCTCTCACGTCCCTCGGCCGTCCTGCTCACCACACTCGTAATGTTTCGACATTATTCTTGTGATGTTTCGACGTTATTCTCGTGATGTTTAGACTTTATTCTCGTGATTTTTTGACATTATTCTTGCGATGTTTCGACATTATTCTCGTAATGTTTTGACTTTATTCTCGTGATGTTTAGACTATTCTCGACATACTTCGACATTATTCTCGTGATGTTTCGACATTATTCTCGTAATGTTTTGACTTTATTCTCGTAATGTTTCGACATTATTCTTGTGATGTTTCGACATTATTCTCGTGATGTTTAGACTTTATTCTCGTGATGTTTCGACATTATTCTCGTGATGTTTAGACTTTATTCTCGTGATGTTTAGACTTTATTCTCATGATTTTTCGACATTATTCTTGCGATGTTTCGACATTATTCTCGTAATGTTTTG